CTGGAGCACCTTCTTCCCCTTCCTTTGCCCTGGCCTTGGTGTCAGCAGGGCTGTTGCTCTCACATAATCTCACTTTTCTCTCACAGCTGTCTTGCAGCATTTTGTACCCTTTCTCTAATAAGCTTTCCAGAGGCAGCACTAATAGCTTGGCTAATGTGATCAGCAGTGTCCTGTAGTGGGACTGTTGAGGCTGGCTGTGTCCTACACAAGGGCAGCAGAAGCTGTTTTCTCACAAAGGCCACTCCTACAACTTCTCTACTCCAACACTTGACATGTACACCCAATACCCCTATTTTAAATTCTTGCATCCCAGTAACTTCATCCCAAAACTTCTTCTGTGGTTGAAACAATTCAGAAGAGGAATTACTTGAACACAATCATCTTCATATTCAAGAAATTGTTAAGGCTGTAACTATGAAAAAATGGCTGCTCCAGGCATACTTCTGGGGCTAAACTACAGGAACAGATCACTGTGAACAGGACATAGAGAAGATGCAGAAAATTGGGTCCAGGATGCAAAGACCTCAATGCTGTTTATGTCACCTGCCACTAGAAGGCTGGATTTGTTTTCTACATAAACAGTATTAAAAGTATTAAAGCCTCAAAGTAGCAGTCTTTGATGTTCACAGTAAAACCACATTTAATCCTGCATCTCCGAGTGGCTCTGACAGACATTCTTCCTGTGAGATGGCCCTGGATCTTGAATAGAAGTAACAGAGTGAGACAGGACTTCCCCAGTACCAGAGCATCAAGACAGAGCCTTCCTTATGTTGTTAATCCCATTGCAAGGAGAGCACTAGAGCATGGGTCAGGACCAACCTTAATCTGGTCCAGTCAAGAAAGGATCACTGCTTCAGAACTGAGTATTTATACCCTTACAGCTCTTGTCCAAAGGCCAGTAAAAAGCAGGTTCATTTGCTGCCACACCTTTCAGGAGCCTCCTACCCCAGTGCCATCCCAAAGGCAGTTTAGGATTTCAGTCAGTTGGCAGGTAATTTTTTACTCCATAGCACGATTTTCTCTGGTGCTTACTATGCACCTTTACTCTGCCACTCAAGAGTACTGACTAATCCCAGATAAGAAAACCAAAATTAACTTTGAAATTGCATTTGTTATTTCCAAAATGTTTTAGTGATATAATTAGGTAGTTTATAGAAAAGCAGATGTCTGAAGAATTCAAATTTCTGCCTCTGGCAGGGTAGTGAATACATTTTTTTATTAATTGACTCAAAAGGACACAGGTATCAGCAATTCTTATCTTTGCATTCTTGAACCTATATTGAGTGCAAAAAATGTTTGTACTCTACAGAGGAGCATCTCAAAACAAAGAATGAAATGCACAGGGTTTCTGCAGTAATGTTTTTAGCACTCTTCAGATACTTTCTTCCTTCCACATACAAATGCATTCTTTAAAATTTGAAGCAATTCAGATCTCCATTTCATGCTTTTGTATTATCTGGAGGAGTATGACTAGATAGTATCAATTAGTAGTAATTTTAGGTAGTTGTAGTTTTGTCATCTGCTAGAGTGGTATTTGTTGAACTAAATATTCAGAATTTTGTAGAACATCTGGTATTATTTTGGGCCATTTACCTGCATAATTTGATTATATTTTAAATATGACAATTTTCATGTGTTAAACCAAATCTGTGGAAACCAAAATGCTAAGAATCTTCTCCTGTGCACACTGCTAGTCTTGTAATATCAAGTTAAAGGCTAGGATAATGTTTGGATTTACAACATTAAAAAGCACTACCTATTGCAGTTGATCTTAATTTTCTTTTCTTCTCGGTAAAATTTAACACAATGCATTTCTCATATAATATGAGCATCTTCTTGTTAAATCTTCCTGACAGTTTTTCAGAATAAAATCTTATTCTCAGTTCTGAATCAGTAGAGAATGGATCCTTATATTGTTTGGATTTTTTCCCCCCTACCATCAGAAGTTCTGAATCAGAGTGGTTAGGTTTTCAGCCTCACTTTTTCACAAAACTGCACTATAACTCCCTTTTTTATTTTTTGTCTATCAGCTACTGAGTAGACAATACACTGAGCTGCAGTAATAATAATAGAAGAGGATTTTGTGTCAGGCAGAATGACATCCTTTTGAGGCATAACCTGAATTAAATTAAAAATGCTGGAGAATATTGAGGATTCCCAGCAAAACAGAGTTCCAAATTTCCATAATGAAATGTGTGACATCCTATCGAAAAGTTACTTGTAAAAACTGCTGTTGCCATTCTTCCAACACTAAGCACAACCTTTTAATCACTTTATCTTCTCTAGTGCTTCTGCTGTTAGTGCTGATTTGTTTTGTTCTTACAGCTTAAAAGGTTAATGTTTCGTAATTCATTAAATCAATGGAAGTTTAAGTTAGACATCTGCCTCTGTAAGCTAAAAATAACGAGGAGCTAGTGAACAGTGTGCAAAATCAAACAAATTAGTGACAGCTTTTATCCAGTGGTAAAGGTCTTTATGAAGATAATTTAATCAGTCATCCCCCAGTCCATTTCAAAGCTGAATACATCATGTGTAGCTAGTTAGTGCCACAGGAACAAAACGCATCAGCCCAAAACTCAGATGAGTGCTGCCCTGACACTGAGTAATCTTCCATAAAAGAAAGAGAAGAATAAGACCACTCTCTCCTCAGTGGCTGTTTACAAGGAATCACTTTGATCAACAAGAATGTGTGTTTAAAGTAGTGTGAAGTTGTGTTGAGTCGGTTTTTTTTTTTAATTAAAAAAAAAATTGCCTCTCATCTCTCAGATCTGGGTAGAACATCCTTAGGAAGTGACAAGATTATGCAAATCAAAGTAAACGTGAAGACGTCCATGTTCATTACTTAAATCAGCTTCAAACAGATCAGTCTGTAGACCTGAGGAACAACAGCATCAAAATACTAAAAAAGGGCCTGTAAAAGTGAGACTCCATTGAATATAAACAAATTTAAGGATTAATTGCATGGGGGTGGGTGGAACCAGTGTCAAAACATAGAGGTACTTAAACTGTGAGGTTGCAAAACCATTCACACAAGTTGCATACAAGTGAAGTTAAGCAAATCATTACTGATTTCAGAAGAAAAATGTGCAGAGATCTGTAATGAACATCTGTGTAGAATAGGGAAGTGTTGACACCACCTCACTTACACTGCTGAGATCTCAGCTACTTCCTGTTATATACACACAGGTGGACATTGGGCATATACAGCTCTGCACTCTGTTTGGAAATCAGGAAACTCACAAGGCAATAGGAAGAGCAGAGCTTAAAAAAAATCCTGCGTAGTTTGATAACTTCCTCAGGTTGTAAATCCTGAAATGAATTAAATTGGTAAGGTACTGATACTGGTGAAGAGGTTAAGTGATGTAACATGCTAAGGCAGGAACTTACTGAAAGAAAAATGAGTCAGATTGAAAATAATGCTTCAAAGTTTGTAAAATAGTAAAAATCTTTTATTATCTAGTGCTTGAGGATGAAAGAACACACCTCTAATTTCCTTCACCTATTTTTACTTCTTTTGTACCCTAATGATCTTAAATTACAGCAGCCCAACCTCCTCCAAAATATCCTTACTGAACTTTATCCTTTCCAGAAAGCAGTAGTCCCCTGAAGTCATCAATGGCTCCACTGCTTATAGCATGAATATAAAAAGAAATTATGTCAAAATAAGCAACTCAGTGGGCAAATAGCTTTTTTTTTCCCATGAAAATTTAACCTGTTCATATTGACAAGGAGGAACCTGACAGATGTGAAAATACAATACAGCAGCATTAACACAACAGCTCTGAGTAAGACCCCATCACCCTCTTAAATCTGAGGGACATTACTGTCTACACAGCACTGACATTTCAGATGCTTGTAAGTCAGCTTGTAAGCAACCAGCTCTCAGGAGCGAGTTCATTACTGCAGTGATAGACAACAAAAATATCCTTGCTTCTATAAGCCTTCTCTTTTTCTCTATACAGAGGAAGATGCCACCAAACTGAGGGTGGTTTATTAGTGGTAATACAGAACAGGTTCAGGCATTAGTCACAAAGTGTAAGTATCTGTTGTTAACTACAATTTAACAGACTGATCACAGAGACAAACACCTACTTTATGCAGGTGCAAAGACTTTTTGGAGCAAAGTCTTAGACTCTCCTTAATCACAGATGTACACAATATAAATCTTCACTGGGAGCAGTGTCAGAGGCAATAGGATACAATAAACTGGATGATGAAATAAGGGAAAAGGCTTGGGTATGCATGCTGGCATTCTCCATATTCTCCACGTTCTTCAGTATATGACTAAATGAGCTTGGTGCCAAAAACATGTTTTAGAATCACAGAATCATTTAGGTTGGAAGAGATCCTTCAGATCATTGAGTCCAACTGTTAACCTAACACTACAAAGTTCACCACTATACCACATCCTTTAAGTGCCATGCACCCTTTATTATCAGAAAAGTAATAAAGAATATATGTTCAATATGGGAAGCCTGCCTTAGTAATTAAACCACATCAAGTCTTCAAAACAACTTAGAAGACTTTAGAAAATCCACAACATGGTAGGTAATGTTATCTTCTTTCCTCATCACCTCCAATTTGCATCAACTTTGTTTTTTATCACCATTACAATACACTTTATTAACTTTTAAACTGCTTTAATTCAAAGTAAATTAATGTACCACCAAAACACTGAAAGACTGTGAAATGCTTCTGCAGTTCCCCACTGCTGAGACATTTTGTGTGCTCTGGAAATAGAGACTGCTTCACAGATCTGCACAGTCCCTGGTGGGGGGGGCAGTTTTCTGTGTTTATTAAATACAATTTAACAGTAAACTTTTCCTTAGGCAAGTTCCATCTTGCAAGCAAACATATTTCATAGGGCAAGTATTATACCAACATACATGGCTCAACATTAAAATAATAAAACTCTTCAATCAGAAAAATGAAGAAACTGCTTCTTCAAAATCTGAAATCACATCTCTGTGTTTTGCTCATGAGAACAAAGTTTACAGGCATAAGTTGCACATAAAGGGTTTATTTTAAATGTTTTAAGGATAGAGTTACATCATAATTATAAAAATTACTTACAGAATTAAGTAACAATTTAAAGTGTTTATACTTCTAAATGCAGAGAACAGGGAACTGTCTACATTGTTGAAAATAAAATAAAAATAAAGAAACCAAGCTCTAAAGATGAATTAATTACCTAATTTAAAAATGTGAACACGAAGACCTCTGAACTATACACATACCAAGAACCATCCAAATTGCACTAATGATGTAAAATACAAAAAGCACAGCATTTTCAAGGAACCAGAAACTGTTTTTACCATAATTCTTTTCCCTGATGCAACTAGACAATTCTCTCTGAAGACAAAGCCCCTATGTTTAAACAATCCATTTAAAGAATGCTTCTACCTATTCCAACAAAAAGGGTTTTCCCCATCTCTACTCCAACATAGTTTAGGGTTTGGCACTCAAAAGAAAGAAGAAGAATGTAGTGTTCTGCTATTCAACTGAAATTTTATTTTTTTCTTCAACAGAATACATGGTCCCTTCAAATGCTGTATGACACATACAACTGGAAAATTACCTTCCGTTGGCACTATGCTCGTCTCACCGGTGCATTTAATCCTACTAACAACCATTAAAACAGCACAATAAGCAAATTCACAAAAAACTGAACACAAAATAAAAACAGAACAAAACAAAAACCTAAACATTTTAACATGCAACTTTAGTTTGTTACATTGAATGTTCTAACCCTCTAAGCATGCAAAAAAGGATGGTCTGCATTTAAGTTGGTTTTTTTTTCCCTTTTAAGTTTTACATGGCAGCCTGACATCACACACACACACACACACAATATACAACAATACTACAGCAGGTAAATGTGAAAGGTGAATAACTTTTTATACAAAGATCCATGGCTTGTGCCATCACAAGCCCTATGTGATTTTGGAAAGTAATGTTGAACCCCTATAACAAGGAACCAACATTTAGTTACCAGGGTAACGCAAGCACTGCATGCAGATCTGAAACATGAGCCTAAAACAAAGCCCAAAGCAGATGGGCAGGGAGTGGAATTAGTCTCAAGCCTCAAAACTGTGGTTTAAGCTATCATAAAAAAAAACCAACCAAACCCAAAAAAACAAAACAAAACAAAATATCCCCAAAGAAACCCCAAGTGAAAATATCCACACAACAGACAAACGGGGACATCCAAAAATGACAGTGAAATTTACAGTTTGTAGATTATACTCTAATTGTCAGAATACATAGTGTATTCAATAGGCTTGCAGAAAACCCACAAATGCAAGCCTAATGCTAGAAGTGTTCCAGTAGACCTAAACCTCAGATATTCCAAACAAACCTCTTACTCCTCAGATATATAGCCCCAAGCTCAGTGTGCTAGGTAATCCATGTATCTTGTGTGTAATTAATACACTCACTCATTCCTGTGCCACAAATGTCGACTTGGGCTCATGGAGCCAGGCTCAGCTTTGAGATTTACATGCAGGACTCTTAAGAGTCAATAGAAAACACAACAGATCTGCAGGATGAAAACACTGTGTTGCAAATCTGCTCACTTTGTTCAAACACAAGAAACATTTACGACTCAGCTACTTACTGCATAAGGACTGCATCAGAAGCTATTCACTGAAAGACAATAGCCTGCCTTTGGTTGCCCATGATGAAATACTGGACATAATGCAATATAGTAGCAATGGACAAAGAATTAAGGTATCATATTTATATGGAGAGTATTTATTACCATTCAACAGCGTAATGAGGCACAAGACTTAAGGCTAAAATATGAAATCAGGCAAAAAAATGGACAGAAAGGGGCTTAAACCACTGAGTCTTCAATATCAGGAATACCCACAACAGAGGTCATCTGCACCTCTGTCCTCTGATTAACAGCTCCTGCATTCTTCCACTAATGGCACACAGCTGGATATCAGGGTATTTGTTCCTTCCATCAACAGTGTTAACTGTCTTCACATTCTGTACTTCTGTGAAGCAATTCTTGAAACTTGCAGAGCTCTGCCTTACTGTAACATGACAACCTTGTTGCTGTGCTGCATTGTTGTTCCAATTCCATTGTTTTTAAAAGCTGCCACACTTAAGGAAACCCTAATTTTCATTTACAACTATCTTGCAAGATTATAACCATGAAAAGATTTTGCAGTTGTGGGCTGCTATTTACATCCACAATCTAATGCAGATGACTGAACCACTGAGACTGCCTTATAGCTTCCATTAGATAGTACACCACTGGCATGCAGAACTCTAGTGTTCATAGAATGAAATTAATGTTAACAGCATACCTCAAAGCAAGTACAATGTACACCACAAAAGGCAACAACAGGTTTAAACTGTAGATTTTTCCAGACACTCCTTAAGTGGAAAAGCCAGAAAAAGAATAAACCGGGAAGATGCCTTCTTGAACCAAAATTATTAAAAGCAAACCAAACAAAGGAATGCAACAGACTGAGCAGAAGGCAACAAATGCTTCTCTTTCTCTAAAGTTACATCTTCACTGTAAAAGGACAACCCCTCCCACTCCCCTGGTGTGAGATTGTATTTACCATGTAAAATATTAACTACTGTTAAGCTTCTAAGTCCACACACAGACATTCAGGTTGCTAGGTTTTGATTTTAAATAAGAGACTACTGATGCCAATGCGTAGTCTAAAGTCTTCTGAAGTAGCATATATACTGTTAGAGTTGTGGCACCAAGCACTTGGGTTTTGCTAAGAAGTGTGTATAACAAACAAAGAAAGAAGTACGACATTTAGGATTGAAGGCAGCCTTGTTGCATGTATTTTACTGGTTCCTACAACTTGTAAATATGGGCCATTAACCTGCATATTCTAATTAACTGGTTATACAGATTAAATGTAATTTTATAGTTTAATGCCTTTTCACTGAAAGGTGCGTAATCCAAACACTTGATATCCTACTGCCCTGTGACTAGTAAAAAATGCACAAGCATTTCCACGCACTGCAAGTTCTTAAAAAGCTAAATTTGAAATAAAGTGTAGAAACACAGCAGATTGATGTTACTTGGGTTAGGCACTCCTTGATACTGCACAAACGGTTTAAACCTTTCAAAAAAGTCACCTCTGTCCCAACCCTGAAGACAAGGACTGCCAGTATCCAAGAAATTAAATTTAATGTTACAAAAGAAGGCGTATCAAAATATCAAACTACACTTGCATGTGGCAGTTGAACAAGTGAGTGCAAGATTGAAGAAAAAGTCAAAATCTATGAAAAAATTTAGATTAATGATTACAACACTAGATCAACTTTACACAGCTTGAATTTGCAGCTGTTCTTTGCTTTTAACTCCCTCCTGCCCAAACATACTGACTTCCTTCAAGAAAAGGAGTTCTCTTACACAAAATGTGTCATGTTTGTATTACTCAGAACAAAACAGTTTTGCTGGCAGAGATTGTGGGTTCGCAGGGACATTTAAGCTTTCGTTAAACTGGAAAGCAGTCAAGTCTTTGTGTCTATAAATTTTACATTTAATAGTTCCACAAATTTGGCAAAAGTTCATGATGATGTCTAGGATGTCTTCACCAAATCGTAGACATAAATATGGAAATCATCATCAAACTTGATGAAATAGACAGATGGTTTGGCTTCAACTTGATGAATGACCATTCCAGTCCTTTTCGAGCCATCTTCTTTGGCATATTCCACTTGTTTGCCTACCAGGCTGTCCACAACTTCACCTGGTTCCCGTTCTGCAGGAGGTGAATCATCTGTAACATAAACACAGCAGGCTTTAGTAGACATTTTAATAAAATTTTGCACTATGAAAGACAACTGCACAGTCATCTTTAAAACTCATACAAAACAATTAGAATTTGTAAACAGATTACTTAATTTCATTCAGACAAGCATTTAACAGTTGCCATGCTTGTAGAAAGTAGTTGCAGAAAAAGTTTTTAAGCAATGCTGTCTTCAGTTTTATTAAAACAAAAATAGCACTTTGGTAAGAGCAGTAATACTTTGACAGGAGGTTGTATCCACAAGTTGTAGAAAATGGCTGTAGATAGCTGAATTTAAGCTATAAGCAGAAAAAGGCATTGGACCTACTTAGCAGAAAGGTACCCTAATTTAACTTCCCTCTTCCCACACACATTATTCAAAGGTTCAATACGTGCATTTAACTACAACAGAAGCATCTCTTCTGAAATGGTACTAGGTGTCAACTCCTTATTAAAAGGGACTTTTTACTCCATATTTGAGTAATTTTGGTAAAGTCTGACTGTATTATTTTCCTCTCTGGCAAAACCTAACCAGACAATCCCTATGCTAAATCTGGATTATGAAAGGTGTGATTTGTAACATGCCAAGTGACTGGATACAAGCCAATTACAGAAAATGATAAAGGGTAAAAAGTACTGTATGGAGAACTGAAAGCTAACCACATCTTCTTTCTCAACTCCTCTTCTTGGATTCCTAATTCAGATAAACTTGTAGTTTGTATTCTACAGGAAAATTTTCTAAAGCAATTGCAATATCTGATGTGGCTTTTGTTCTGGAAATCATAAGCTTTTAAATTAATAACTTAGTTACAAGTTTGTATTAAGAATCCCTTACAGACTCTACCAATTTTATTTTGAGTTTTGAGAGCTGTGAAAAAACTCTCAAAGGAGAAAAAAAAAAAAAAAAACAACAGGGAATGAATAGACTGGCTTGCATTTGCACTTTGAAAGTCTTGCAAACAGAAGGTTTTTGTTTTTCAGTTCCTCTATAAATGCATTGTCACGCATAGTTATTATTCTCTTAGTATGAGTTTTATATTTCTTGGCAAAGATGCAAGTTCAACTCCTACATTTTCACTTAGAAGTGTAGGCCAAGTTTGAGTATCAGATCCAGCAATATATTTTCCCCTCACAAAAAGAAAAAAGGTTAAAGCAAATTACCTATTATTTGGTCTCCTCACATGTGCAGAACCTATATTTGATAAGGGACAGTACCCTAGAAATTTTATTTATAACATTATGGCAAGTTCCACCAAATGTATAGAAGTATTTTCAGATATTCTAAAATCTGATTTTGAATAATACTACTCCAAAATACTAACATCCAATTGTTGAGTCAAGGACATGATTCAAAATATCTGGAAAGCATTCACATTCAGGAAAGGAAGCAAATACTTAGAAGTGTTTAGAAAATCAGTAAGCAATAATCTTTTGGCAAGCACAGAGGGTAAAGTGCACTAAAACCAATTAAGATTTAAATGGAAAGAAAGCATATAAGCTTTCCCTACTCTCAAGGTGGAAGAAAGCAAAGCAGACTTAAAATACATTCCTAGTCCGTTTTGATGGTTAATACAAAGAACAAGTTATTTTAACATTCAAATCTGAAAGAGCTTGCTTTATTTCTTTAAGAAGAGGAAGGTCACTTTTCTCCGTTAACATTTGTGGTGCTTTCTTTAAAGCATCAGAGATGTTGTTTTTTGCTCGGGCCAGAGGAGAGGGTCATCTAAACACAGATCATTAACACAGAGATTATGCAAATAAGTGCCACTTTTTTATTCTGCCAGTAGATCATTACCAGTGGTGCATCTGAAAGAAGATGATCTCAAACTCAACAAATTACTAATTGGATAACTGTAGTGGTTGGCTACATAGTGCTTTGCATATGTGTTAGTTACAATAATTTTCTTTAAATCCCAGATAGCTTCTATCAGAAAGGGCTTTGTAACACAGGAGAAGTAAACCCAAAGTATTCTTTATAATCTCTTTCTTTGAACTGACTATCTAAATCTCTAGAATAATACTGATCCTGTGAAAAGCCTCCTAAAATTATGGAAGTCCTGAAGAAGACTACTTCCAAAATGACAGGAAAGATACTAAGAGGAAATCTTTTCTTATTAGTGTTACAAAATGTGAGAGAAAATCAAATTTAAAAAAATAAGTACTTCTTTCTCACAAGCAACTACTGGAAGACTTCTGGCTTGTAAATTTCCACTAAAAAACCAAAATGTAAAGTCTTTCACAGTAGCACACGCATATTTTCAGCAGAATTAAGATTAATTATGAAAAGGTATTACCCTGCATATGTCACTGCTACGGAGAGTTAAATATTTCAGCAGTTAACACAGATGTTCTTTCTTGTACTACTATATTTGTTAGCTGTGATACTTTGAAAAAAAAATTAAATGGAACATCAAATATGATGGTTTGTCAGCTGTCTTGACCATAAATAAACCACAGCTAAATGTTTAACAAAAAAAGCTCTCAAAAGAAAAGAGTAATTGGCCTACTTACTTGAATCAGGCATAATGCGAAGGTCACCTTCTTTATAATCATCTAAGAGCTGGTACATGTACAAGACGGGATCTTTCTCGTAGGTAATATAAAACCACGTGTTCATAATAGGAGCTCGAGCCAAAACCATCCCCCTCCATTCATCTTTTGAGCCATCCTCTGTCTCAAACATATGTTCCACGGCTTTACCAATCATTGTGTCTGCCAGGTGGGCATCACTAATTCGAGACGAAGCTGAAACGACAGCATTTCAGAAATTCATTCAAAATGTGTCTCTGTAAAAATAATCTTTATGCTGATTAATGCACAAATCTTATTGGCAGTTAGTAAATTCACACACAAAACAAATAGTGTCCATTCCAGAGAGTTTAGTGCTGCAGACCTAAGAACATCAGAATGTTGTTAAAATAATTATGAATTATTGTACTCCCTGTGATTAAACAATCACAATGTAAGCTCACAGGACATCAATCAAGCAGCAAAGACTCTGTACTTTAACTAGACACTGGGCAGGGAGAGGCAGAAACAAAAGGCCTGTCTCAAGGCAGTTCTATGATGGTATTAATTCAACTTTGGGGATGGTTCCTCGTAACGCCACCCTACAGACTGTAACCAATTCCTTTGCAGCTAGAAGAGGCAAGAGGCTTTTTCTATTTACAAACTAGTGTTTACTTGAGTAGATATCAAACTTGGTGGATTGAAAAACCTGCAGTTTAACAATCCAAGTGCTAATTCTGAAAAACAAAAAGCATTATAACTCATCAGGTTAATTCACTTAGAAAATGTCTTCCAGCCATTATTATAAGTACATGGTGGTTGTACAAGAAAAAATGTAACCTTATTACTGTTAGACACACAAAATAGACAACACAGTCTAGATGGCTTAGAGTTGGAATTTTAACGGAAATATCAATGTTAATCTGAAAACTACAGAACGTACTGCATACTACTTTAAAGACAGAGACAGCAACTGCACTCACTAGCATCATCAAAATTTGTTGGAATAGAAAAAAAATCAAAGCACTTAGATTACCTGCTATGAGACAAAAATGAAATTGAGCAGTAACATTTAAGTGGTCATGGGTTATCCTGGGGGAAGTTTGCAGGGATTAGTGGAAAACATTTGGTGATAAATGTCAGCCAATATGTGTATTTATTTAGGAGAAAAAACCCAAACACTTACCAACTCTGTCTGGAAGAACTTCAAGTGCTGAAACTCTTTCATCTTTGTGAAGTTCTAGTCCATACACACAATCAAATCCATCATACTTTATGAGATAGAGCGAGGGATTTACAGGAACTTGATCAAGAACTGTGCCCTTCCATTGTGTTACAGGTCCACTTCCTTCTTTCCATCCGTGCTGTATCCTGCAGCCTACAATGTTTCTTCGTGGCTGAGAGATAGGTTTGCTTGGTCCCACATTGTTTCTATGCTTTCTGTACACAGATACAAACATTAATATTAAACAGGTACATACATAATCTGCCTCAGAAAATAGCTGTATGCTTTTACATGACAGTATATTTATAGTTTAGCACACCTTATTCAAATTAGGTCATCAAGCTTATCAAACTTTATTGGAAAAAAGAAAAACATACTTAGAAGTAGTGACACATTTTTGACATGCTGTATAAGTTCAGTTTCCTAGCAGTAAATTCTAAATGTAGTTTGCTTAAGCCAAAATAACAAATCCTATCCCTTGCTACACTGAATGTCAAAAGTGAAACTCACCTGATCAAATCTCAAAACACAAGGTTACCTGGTAACTGTAGTAGTAACCTGTAGTTACTACTACAACTTTACTACCTTGTTACTCTCTGCAGAACAGTAAACAACTCCTTTCCAGAAGGAAGAAGTCAGTGCAAGCATTATGTGGCTGACTGAAATTCTTTCAAAATGTTTGTTTTCCCTAAAACAGACCTATTTTCACCTGAAGAAAATTTTGGCTCCTTCATTTACAGGTAATTTTGATTCCATGTAGTTTTAAAGACACATGACAGCAACAACACTTCCATATTTAATATGGAAAATTAAAAACTGCATGTAATGTAAATGGCCAGAGAGGGGATACTCCTTTTTGTGGAAAACGGATCAAGTAACTTTTTTGTCCTTCTGATATTTTCATGGAATTGGCATGAAAATTCCCTCTGGTAAGTAACAGTTGCTATTCTGATGAACTGTAATGTAAGCTATTTGACAGTTCCAAATCACTGAAAGTGTTATACAAGTTTTGTTTTATCCAGCTATCAAAAACACAATTTTGAACACAAATGGAAAAAACTAAGGGGCATTATGACAATATACAAAATTCTCCTGGATATCAACTAGTTGTAAAACAAATTTTTGAGCTACTGCTTGTAGCACACATCATTTCAATGGCAGTAATATGTACACACAACTAGCTTAAAAGTAACATCTAAAAGATGATCAGTTGCAGAAGGCAATATTGTTCCTTAGATTAGAGATAGTGATCAAAGAAAAAGGTCTCCAGATATGATTAATGGTTCATACAAGTCCCTATATGATCAAAAAAATACAGATAACAATCATACCACTGAAATCCTGGAAGCAGTATTTCAGAATAATACACTCACAATATGATATTGGAATGTTTAATGCTGTATCACAACTGTAATCATAACTAGATAAAAACAAGAAACACAATTAACTTCAGTACTTATCCCACCTCCAGACGTTAATTCACCATGAAGATCTTAGCAAGGGTATTTTCAAATTTCACTTTTGTTATCATTTGAGGTTTCCAAAGATCAGGCTGCAGTTTTGCATTCCTAACTTTGATTAACACAGATAACTGGAACAGGTTTGAGTTCCTATAAAGAAAAACTCTCCCACAAAGCTGGATCTAATTTTATGCAAAAACTAGAATGTATTTTCAGATTCTAGCTCTATTCAAGTATATATATATATATATATGTGTTTTTAATTGTAGTAAGTGTCAGTAATAGCTTACTATTACAGAATAAGTTCAGAGATCAGGTTCTCAGCACAAAATTGAGTTTGTTTTGCATTCAATTCATTTAATTAGTGCTAATGGAACACTGCTTCATTCTGAAGGGAATAAAAACTAGTAGAAATAAAAAAAGTTTAAACTGACATTGCTTTGTCTAGTTTAAGCAGTTTATGTTGCTCATCATTTCATCTTTGAAAAAAAATTATAATGCTATTGATATTCAACCTCACAGTCAACTTTACTTTCTGCCTACAAAGCATAATCCACTTTAATATTTAATTTGGAACAATAAGGTAGAAAGCTTTACACTCATTCTAAAAAAAGATGGAAGAAGATAACATAACTGAGTTCAAACAGGTTTAAAATGCCTCATAGAGCAAAGATTATTAGGAATTTAATTACAAATCAAGTACCAGCTACATGTACTTGTAGTTCAAATTTTTGTTTGAAGGTTGCATAACTGAACAGCTGCTCACTTCTCATTTGAAGCGGTTCATACTATAACAAATTAGATACTCAAACTAGTAAATTATCAAGGAAAACCTACTTCTTGTATCTGAACATGGTAAGAAAGCAAACAAAAGTTTCTAACTATTAGTAAGTAAGTTATGAATGTACTTCTATGTAAGACAACCAAGTAACCAAATCTCCTTTCCTCAACAGCGTGTCATTTTTGTAATAAATCAAGTTACTCAGTAACCTTCTATGATGTTCTATCCAGAACATCCAACACAATTTTTCCTTCTCTTTCATTAAAACAGTATTTAAAATTTCCACAGACATTTGCTCTTGAATATTTGAAAACAATAAGACATGTAAGAAATGAAGCCAGGATAAACAGAAAATAGCAAGTCCTGGAGGTAGTTCTTGACACATCAGACATATCATCATTGTAAACGGCCCTTCGATTCCCAAAAGTTTCTGATCCTCTTCTTTATCTTGCAGGCTGTATGCTGTTAAATAAAAACCTAATGCGAAAAAGTTTCATTATCAGAACCAGATATTTTGGAAATGTTCTAAAGACTACACAGCCAGAAGGAAATCTGCTCAGATGTTAAAGCTGTGTTTATATGGTCTTTACACAAACTTTAATTTGGCTACTGCTATCTGGGAAGCCAACATATTTCAGAACTTCAGAGGACTGCTAGCAGAAAAATCAGCTATTACCAGAGAGTTGTGCTTAAAACACAAACTAGCATTTATAAAAATAGGAATGGCAATGCCCAGTAACCTACAAAGTTACTCATTTAAGTTTCGTTGATTGTTTTTTATCCTTATCATGTCATCTCAGAAAAACACCAAAAGAAAAAAAAAACAAAAACAGAAGGATGAAAGAAAATGACATCTCTCAGATATGCAAAACATGCACAACTGTGAAAAACTGGAATGAAAATGATAAAACATTATAGAAGCAGTACAGTAGCAGTGGTCAGTATGCCTTCAAATCTCTCATGGTACAAAACAAGTTACAGAAAACAGGATACAAAACTTAATACAACTGTGATCTTATTAATGTCTATGACTAATAACATAATGGTGATCTGAGAATTGTTATTAACTACTTTTCGGAATATTCAGACTATGAGGCATGTTAATTAACACAGAAGTTTTGAAGTATATTCTGTATACTCCCTCAAAAGCAAAAAAAATCATTAAGTTGTGAATTTCAGCTCTAGATGCTGCAGAAGCCAAGAGCACGTTACATTAAAGTAGTATCAAAATGTCAAAATGTTTAAGTTCACTTGTAATAAATTGCAATTGTAACCTACACCTCCGAGTCTCTGAATTGCTGACTACAAGAAATCTGGAGAGCCTATGAAGAAAGGATTGTTTCATACCTGTGCTAGATCTTGCACTATCCTAATACACTAAGCATGGAAAGAATGACATTTGTGAGTTTATTGATTGATCTGATGCCAGTGAGGTCAGCTTCATATTGGCAGAGATCACCACTACTCAGTGACAGAGCGCTTGGAAGAACTGTCCTAAAACCACTGGAATCATCTCCAAAAGGCTCAACGGTTGTGGGCCCCTCTTTCCTTTAAAGAAAAGGGTATTGTCTGACAAATAGTTAACTACTATTTAAAGAGTTCAGAAGGCTCATCCACACTGCTCATTCTATCACAGCCTCACTTACTGAGTCATGCCTTGCTCCTTCCTCTGCCATAAACCTTCTAAAATAAACCTTTAAAATCTCAATGGCCTTTGAGTACTAGTGGGCTTCCTTTTCTTTTTCCTTAAATGAGGACATAACTATATAAATAGCTAAATCAGTGACAAAGTACATTACTAACTCACAGTCGATCATGTTGGCTCAGAGTAGTGTCAGCATACAGTATTACATCATATTCATATCCTACTCATTTACGGTAAACAATAAACAATGTTCCACTACTACACCTCATTCTCAGGCAGCACACAAGAAGTCACCTTGGCTTGGTACAAAAAAACCTTAACTAAGTAATAAAAAATTGAACTAGGCTAAGTTAACATAAAACTAAGCTGGATGCTTAAGTTAAATACCTCAAAATTATGTCTCAAGATCAAAACTTCTTATGTCCCACAAAAGCTTTTATGCTAATAAATTTACAGCCTATTTAGTTATTTAAATAAGTGTATATTAACACAACAATAAAGACAAATCTAGCCACCCTCAAGTACAAAAGGCAACCCACCTCTGATAGTCTTCCCATCATACACTCCTTTCTCTGAGCGGTTGAAAGAGAACAAGAGAAATTAAAGTTTAACCAACTCTACCTGCCCTAGACAAAAAATGTTTCTCTTTGCCTTCTATGAAGATAGACAAGAATGGATAATGATGAGCTGGTGGAAGGCATCAGAGTAGTTTAACATCAAGTGTTGTCTCTGGGAAACAGTTAACATGTTAATAGTGATTAACTAGATTAATTGTGGAAAATACACCTGCCAAACAAATTGCTTGTGATTGATACACACTATATGACTTTACACTTACAAACAGCTGGTAACATTTCAAGTTTCCAACTTACCCAGCTTAGATTTCTCTCACCAGATACAGCCAGATATGGTATCTTGCTGCATGACACTAAGACCAATTATATCCAGAAGTTACCTCTACTTTCACACAGCTACTCACCAGTGTTCAGCTGCTACTATTTAAAATGTCAAAGATGGAAAAATACATGCCATGAAAGTGTAGCAAAAGCAGGTATCCTTCCTTCACATACTAACACCAACTTCCTTACAGAAGTATTTCAGTACATTCTTTATTTTTAAAAAAACAAAAATCTTTTCCAACACTACAGTTATAGTGCTATCTATGATTAGATATATCTGAGATACCTTCCCAACTGGGTTCTTAGTAAGGATGATTTGCAGTTTTTTTTGATCTTGTGACTGCATGAACTCTGTGCCAGAGAACAGACATCCTACAGTAGACATGGCTAAGCTAGGCTTGAAAATCCTTCTCTACAGATTCCAGAAGAATTTCGAAATTGTATTAAAAAATATAGTATTAACAGTCAAAACAACATTTAAAACTTTATCTGTGGGGCTTTCTTTACCCTACTACCCTCCTGAAAGGATTAGAAGTCTGACTCTACACACATACACAGACTGAATATTATTCCACAGTTTTCAAAAAGAAGAGTGGAACAATCAGATATATTTCTAGAACAGTACTTCCAGTTACTGAGAGCTATTCTTTAGTAAATACATTAACAACTTACTTGTGGGATGTTCTTTTCTTCATCATGCTGGCAGACACTCCTGCATGACCTACAATATAAAAGATGTTGGAATTACTGAAAAATAATTTAAGAACTTACACAAAAGCCATCATATTGAATGTCAAAATGTAAAGAATCCAAACACTTCATGTTATGACTGATCAGTGAAAAGGCTCTAGAGAGGAAAAGGCTCTAAAGAGGTAGACATTGGCTACTTGCACATGAATCTGGGGTGGACTGAACTTGGCTGGATGCCGGGTACTGGCAAAGCTGCTCTATCTCTTCTCTCAGCTGGACAAAGGAGAGAAAATACAACCAAATCTTCCTGGGTCAAGAGAGGGTCAGAGCGGAATCACTCACCATTCACCATCAGTGGCAAAGGGAATATTAATTTATTACCAAGCAAGTCAGAGTAAGACAATGAGAAATACAGCTAAATCTTAAAAATACCTTCCTCACAGCTCTCCCTTCTTCCTGGGCCTAACTTCACTCCCAATTTTTTTCTACCTCCTCTCTCCCTGGTAGCACAAGTGGACAGGGAACAAAGGTGCAGTCAGTTAATCACATGTTGCCTCTGCTGCTTCTTTCTTTCTTTCTCCTCAGGGTTAGGGTTAGTTCTCCCTCCTCAGGGGAAGGACTCATACTTTTTCCCCACTGAAGTGTGGGGCCCCTCCCACAGGAGACAGTTCTCCAAACTTCTCCAATATGAATCCATCTCAGGGGCTACAGTTCTTGGCAAACAGCTCCAGTATGGATCTCTTCCACAGTGTGCCATCCTTCTGGAACAGGCTGCTCTGCAGTGAGCCCCCCCCAGGGTCACAAGACCTGCTCCAGCATGGGCTCTTCTCTCATGGGGCCACAGATCCAGCCAGGAAACCTGCCCCAGTGCAGACTTCCTGCAGGCTCAGACTCCTTCATCCACCCACCCCAGTGTAGGGTCCTCCATGCACTGCAGGGGCACAGCTGCTTCACCATGATTTTCACCACTGTCTGCACTGGACTCTCTGCTCCAGGGCCTGAAGCACCTCCTCCCTCTCCTTCTGCAGTCACCTTGGAGTCTGCAGGGCTGCTACGCTTACATAGTTTCACTCCTCTCCCGTAACTGCTATGGGGCATAATCTTTCCCCCGTTCTTAAATACAATGCCCAGTGGCACTACCCACCCCAAACAGTCCCCTCATGGCATTAATTTTCACAAATAGCAGCTGCCTGGAAATCTGCAATCACTGACAGGCTCAGCTTTGGCCGTTGGCAGATCCATCTTGGAGCCGGCTGGCACTGGCTTTCTTGGACACAGGAGAAGCTTCTACCTACTTCTCACAGAAGTCACCCTTGCACCTCCCATGGCACCTTGCCATGCAAACCCAACACAGAAGCTCAGTTAACGAGTGACAGCAACTATTAAAATGGAAGTTGAACTAAACACAACAGAGACAGTAGTTGCAATGGTGAATCAGCAACAATAGTGAATCACCAGGCTGTTTTAAGCTTCCATCCTTGAGTTAGTAAAAGGAGATGCCAATACACATCATCCTGAGTTAGCAAGACCAGCACTACCTGCATCTAACACAGCACATAAAAAAGTAAAAATAAATGAATTTTTACTGAGAGAAGAGCACTGCACTCAACCCAGTGATAACTTGGGATGAATATGAAAAATGGAAACCTTTTAATAAGATGAAATGAGGAAAGCAGAAATCAGGCTTCCGCTGGAAGAGAGCTGCTTATGAGCAGCCGTGAAGAATTCAGGAGAGGAAATATGCAAGATCAAAATGACAGAAAAACACGTTCAAAAGAACACTGTACATTAAAGGTAATGTGCACAGGTAGAAAAATAAAAATTAGTGATTAGAATGAAAACTGCAGCCTCAGATCACAGTCAAAGGCCACCTGCACAGGGATCATTTACTGGGGTTGACTGAAACAGCCCTTGTTAAAGTGATGGCTGATGGTGACTACATGGCCAGAAGATAACTGACCTTGATCCTGATTCTCCCTGTCTTCCTCACTGTACTGCCTTTGAATAGTATGGAGTTAAAATTTCTTCACAGCAGCTTGTTTTGGGCTGTTTTGGATTTTTTGCTTCTTGGTTGCCATATCTAAAACAGTCTGGTCACAGTGCTGGACTGAACCATGTATAACTCTAAAGGCTCGTGTTTATGTACAAACATGCCTAGAATTTTAACTAGGAATGCTTGAATTAACATTTGCAGAGAAGTGCTTTAATTTCTCTATAGGCTTAAACAAACCAATTCTTTTAAATTTACACTATGTGCATGTTCCAAGCATATCTAGAATTACATACATATTGAAGAGAATCACACAGGAGTCAAGCAGTGACAGTACCAATAATCTTTAAAGTCTTCATAAGTATTTTATTATTTTAATTTTTGTATGCAAAATTTAAGAGGGCATACACAAAGTTACAGAAATGGCAGAATTAATATAATTAATTAATAATTAAAATAATCTTATGTTTAGTATATTCAAGCTTGCATCAAATAGTCAGGAATCTCCATTTCCAACAGTAATGATATCTGAAGTGTTCTTAATTTTTAAAAATTAGGCCTTGTCTGTCAATTACTGCAGTAAAGATCCTTCTTGCAATTTTTGACTGTTACAAAAACAAATTAAATTGAGTATTTGTAAGAGCTTAGCTGGAAAGACAAAAAAAGCATCACAAAAAGTTTGATTAGAAACCTGTAAGGCTTTAGGACTTTATTACAACCTGTAAAAAAACTTTCTAAGCATAATTTCAGTTACGTCTCTGTACATGAGGCTGTGTTCTATGATATGTAATATAAATTTTAAAAAATTATTAAAAATATGGTGATGTTTTATTTTAAAAGAAGTAATTTCTTCAAATCCAAGAACTGTTCTTACAAGATAGAGAAACTTCATCAACAGAAGATGAACATATGTACTTAACATTTTACATTTCCAGCTAATGAGAGAAAAGTAAGATTTTGGCTAAAGTAGCTCAAGTAAAAACACAGCAAAACAACAGAATGGTGCAGCACAAGAATTTGCTTTCTGTCCACCTCTCAAGGACTCTGTAACCTGTAAAAAGGGAGGTATGAAGGATTTATCTTTCAAAGTCAAGAACTGAAAAGCACTAGATTGACACAGAAGGAAGATTTACTCCAACATTTGCAGTAAGTACAGAAGAGAAGTTATGCCGACCTCCGGGAACGGGATTTTGCAGTTTCCTAAGTTTTCACTTTGGGATCTTCAAATTTTGTTAAGATTCAACTTGTTCACTGATGTGATGAGCTCTATACCAAAGGCAACATAGACAACTAAGTACTACTCATCATCTTAAGTCAGTATCTTAAGAGAGCTCCCAGTTTAATACATGAAGTGATGGCATTGGTATGTTTAATAAATATATCAATAGCAAGTATTTGAAGATCCTAGGTTAAACACACTCTTGTACTAACCAGACGCCAATTTGCCACAATTTGCCCTCTTAATTTGCACAGTCTGAATTCAGATAGGTCTCATAGAGATGTAAACTCGTTTTAAGGATATATTGGGTTATACTATTGAATTGCTTGGCTACCATAGTGGGTCTAATGCTGGCCAAATGCCAGTCCACCCACTAGAATTACTTACTCATTTTCTGCCATGAGATAAGGATTAGAAGGAGAGCAAAGCAGGCTCAAACTTCAAAAGGTATAAAGAAAACTTTATTAACACAATTAAAAGAAAAATAGAAAGAAATCAGAATAAACCTTCAGAACAGTTCACCTCTCACCACACCCTCTTTTCTTTTCCACTGGGAAAGAGACAGAGTAAAAACACAAAGCCTGGGACTTTCAGTCAGTTTACCACCTCTAAAATAGTCTTTCTTCAGTTCTCTCAGGGAGAGGAGTCCCTCTTGCCATGCCATGGAGACTTTTCCACAAGAAACAGTCCCCTCATGGCTTTAATTTTCACAAATAGCAGCTGGAAATCTGCAATCATTAAGTCCCTCCCACGTTTTGGTAGTTTTTTCCATAACTATCACCACAGGTGAGTCATTTCAGCTTATTGGGGTACAATTTTAAGGATGAGTTGTTCTAGTATAGAAACAAAAGTTCTCTTCTTTTATCTCTGGAAACAGAGGTTTTCTTCTTCCATCTCTGGGTAAAGGTTTCTCATCTGTCTCATCTCTCTCTGTTCAAGCTACTTCAACATCTGCTTGCTTCAACACTGGTGCCTCTGCTCAATGTGGCTAGAACACTACATCCCGCCAGCGCATTCCATGAGTTACAGGGGGGGAAAAAAGTCTGATCTATCAATTATATCTTCACCATAGCCATACAAGAGAATTTCAGCCCAAGACTAAGGCATCTCCTCATTCTACTTCCATCTCCTCCTTTACTGACCTTGGTGTCTCTATGTTGTTTTCTCTATGTGTCTTCACCCTTTCCTTCTCTCTCACTTGAGAGAGGATTGATGACGGCAAGTTTCATCTGTACACTAAAAATGTTAATATCTTGCCCGGGCTGTGGATAGCCATATGATCTTTGCTGGGCAGTGGCCACTCTGGTTGCATAGCTGTTTTCTGGTCCCTGCTGCATTAAATTCCAGTTGCAGGAGCTGATTTCTGTGTGGGGCTGCAGAGCCATCTCTGCTTTTAGCCACATGATTTTTCTGCTGCACCAGCAGAGTGGCTCAGTGGCTCATGGTTGTAATGGAGCCTGGCTTGGCTCCATCCAAAGCCGAATGGAGCTGGCATGGTCCACTGGCCATGGTTGGAACTCGGTGGCAGCAGAATCTCAGCCAAGCTGTGCTGCAGGCCAGGCTGGCCGGGCTGTGTGGCAGAGCAGGGCCGGACTGGCCTGGCCACACCACACAGCAGAGTGAGGCCTTGCCTGGCTAGCATCCAGTAACCTGATGGAAGGCTAGAAGCAAGAGAGCTTTTCCCAGGATTTGTTCATTTTTAAACTCGTTTTCCACAGAGGCATTTTCAGCTCTTTTAAGTGGTTTAACAGGTTGTCAATATTCACACTAGCCAACTGATTGGTTTTGTCAGGTCCAAAGGAAGCTGCCAGGGTCCTTACAG